GCGGTGGTGACGGTTTCCTAAACAAGTCACCTGGCCACCCACCCATACACTCACTCACTCACACTCACTCACTCACTCACCCATCCACTCACTCACTCACTCACTCACTCACCCACCCACTCACTCACTCATCCACTCACTCTTCTTTTACTCATTCACTCACTCCTCATTAATTCACTCACTCCTCATTCATTCACTCACTCTCCTTACTTCTTATTCATTATCCACTCACCCACTCACCCACCCTCCCAATCACACGCACAGACACCCACTCACTCCTTCACTCACCCACTCACACAGTCCTTCCCCCACCTCCCAGGCTCACTGTTGTGTTGCTCACTCCACTGGTCACTCACTCCCTGTTCCCTGGTCCACTCCCTGGCTGGCTCTCCTGGGCTTGTCCCTGCCCCTCCCCCACGGACAGCTTGGGTCTTCACTCTCTGACTCCCTCCTTTTCTTCTTCCCTCCCTTACTCATTCACACACTCACTCCTTCATGCCCACGCACGCTCCGTCACGCGTGTTCCCCATGGACAAGGCAAGGCTGGGCTCAGCAGCGGACCCCTGAACAGACCAGGCAGCCACTTCTGGTGTCCCCATGGCCCCAGGAGCCACTCAGCCCTCCTCAGGACCTGGCCCCCACAGGGGGATGGGCATGTCCCTAGCCTGGCCTCCTCTGACTTTGCAGGTGACTCGGAGGAGGAGGACATGGGGCTCCTGGAGGTCAGCGTTTCAGACATCAAGCCCCCAGCCCCCGAGCTGGGCCCCATGCCCGAAGGCCTGAGCCCTCAGCAGGTGTGTGGGACTAGTGGTGGCTCTGGAGCAGGGACGTAGGGGCCCTAGTTTATTACCTGGGGTCACACTGGTCTCAGTCTTGAACTCAGGGGCTTCCTGGGTTCTCTTCCTGACCAGCCACTTTCCTGATTAGACCCTGCTGGTCCCCTGCCAAAGATCTGCAGCCAGAGGAGTTGGGTGGGGCCTTGGTAGGTGGCAGGTGGCCCAGTGCTGGGGGCGTCTGCTCTCCCCACCGAGCAAACCATTTTCAAACAAAGCACCATCTGCAGAGAGGGCCGCAGTTTGGGTAGATGGTGGCTGGCCAGCACCGAGGCGTTTGCCGTAGGTGCAGGGGCCCAGCCCACCCTAGGCCGACCTACCCCAGTACCGGGGCCTCCCCAGGATCCAGGGCTCTTTGAGTAATGCCCTTCTCCCAGAGTGCCCCAGGACCCGCACCCTGGCTGAGTCACGCTCTCTCCTGCCCAAGCCGTGACTCGGATGGTGACAAGCCTGGAGAGCGTCCACAGCCTCTGCCCATGAGGATGGGCATGAGACCGGGTGCGGGGGGCAGCAGCCCGCAGGGAGCTTGCGGC